GGCCCATCCAGTCCAACACTCTGTATCCCACAGTGGCCAGAAATACCAGTGCCATCAGGAGGTCCACCAGTGGGGCCAGGACATTAGAAGCCCTCCCACTGTTGACCCCCCCCCAAGCACCAAGATGACAGAGCATCACTTGCCCCAGAGTCCCTATCTATACCTTGTGGCTAATAGCCACTGATGGACCTCTGCTCCATATGCTTATCTAATTCCCTTTTGAAGCCGTCCATGCTTGTAGCTGCCACCACTTCCTGTGGCAGTGAATTCCAAGTGTTAATCACTCTTTGGGTGAAGAAGTACTTCCTTTTATCCGTTCTAACCCGACCGCTCAGCAATTTCATGGAGTGCCCACGGGTTCTTGTATTGTGAGAAAGGGAGAAAAGTACCTCTTTCTCTACCTGCTCTTTCCCATGCATAATCTTATAAACCTCAATCATGTCACCCCTCAGTCGTCGTTTCTCCAAGCTAAAGAGCCCTAAGCGCCTTAACCGTTCCTCATAGGGAAAGTGTTCCAACCCTTTTATCATTCGAGTTGCTCTTTTCTGCACTTTTTCCAAAGCTATAATATCCTTTTTAAGGTGTGGTGACCAGAATTGCACACAGTATTCCAGATGAGGTCGCACCATTGATTTATATAGCGGCATTATGATATTGGCTGATCTGTTTACAATACCCTTCCTAATAATCCCCAGCATAGCATTGGCCTTCTTTATTGCAGTCACACACTGTCTCGACATTTTCAGTGAGTTATCTACTACAACTCCAAGATCTCTCTCTTGATCTGTCTCTGCCAGTTCAGACCCCATCAACGTGTATTTATAGTTAGGATTTTTGGCTCCAATGTGCATCACCTTGCACTTGGCCACATTGAACCCCATTTGCCATGTTGACGCCCACTCGCCCAACTTTGACAGATCCCTTTGGAGTGCCTCACAATCCTCACTGGTTTTCACCACCCTGAACAACTTCGTATCATCCGCAAATTTAGCCACTTCACTGCTTACTCCCAACTCCAAATCATTAATGAACAAGTTAAAAAGCAGTGGACCAAGTACTGATCCCTGTGGTACCCCACTGCTTACACCCCTCCACTGGGAGAACTGCCCATTTATACTCACTCTCTGTTTTCTATTAATTAGCCAGTTTTTGATCCATAAAAGGACTTGTCCTTTTATCCCATGATTTTTGAGCTTGCTTAGGAGCCTTTGATGAGGAACTTTATCAAAAGCTTTCTGGAAGTCAAGGTAAACAATATCTATTGGATCCCCCTTGTCCACATGTTTGTTCACCCCCTCAAAGAACATTAACAGGTTAGTGAGACAAGATCTTCCCTTACAGAACCCATGTTGAGTCTGCCTCAATAGGTTTTGTTCATCTATGTGCCTACTAATTCTTTCCTTAATAATGGTTTCCACCAATTTACCCGGTATCGACGTCAGACTGACAGGCCTGTAATTTCCCGGATCTCCTCTGGAACCCTTTTTAAAGATGGGAGTGACATTAGCTACCTTCCAGTCCTCAGGAATGGAGGCTGATTTTAAGGAGAGATTACATATTTTTGTCAGGAGATCCACAAGTTCACAATTGAGTTCTTTCAGAACTCTTGGATGTATGCCATCTGGGCCTGGTGATTTATCAGTTTTTAAGTTGTTTATCAGTTTTAGGACCTCCTCTCTCGTCACCTCAATCTGACTCAGGTCTTCCAACACCCCTCCTGAAATCAGTGGTTCTGGAGTGGGCAAGCACTTCTCATCTTCCACAGTGAAGACGGAGGCAAAAAATGCATTTAGCTTCTCAGCCATTTCCCTATCATCCTTCAGTACTCCTTTTACCCCTTGGTCATCCAAGGGCCCCACTGCCTCCCTGGCTGGTTTCCTGTTTCTAATGTATTTGAAGAAAGTTTTATTGTTGGTCTTTACATTTTTTGCTATATGCTCCTCATATTCCCTTTTTGCATGCCTGACCACAGACTTGCATTTTATTTGCCATAGCCTGTGTTCTGTTTTATCAGCCTCACTGTGACTAGCTTTCCACCGCTTAAAGGAATCCTTTTTACCTTTTACAGCTTCCATTACTTTGTTTGTTAACCATGTAGGCTTTTTCTTATACCTGTTTGTGCCTTTCCTAACCTGCGGAATATATTTTATTTGAGCTTCTAGAATTGTAGTTTTAAACAGTTTCCAAGCTTCCCCAATGGTTTTGACCCTTTCTACTTTTCCCTTCAGTTTCCTCCCCACATGTCCCCTCATATCAGAAAAATTACCCCTTTTAAAGTTAAAAGTGGTTGTGTGAGTCTTTTTGGCCAATTCCCTATTTGTACAAATGTTGAACTCAACAACATTATGATCACTGTTTCCAAGTGGTGCAATCACTTTTACATCTCTCACCAGGTCTTGAGTGTTACTTAGGACCAAATCAAGGATCGCCTCTCCCCTGGTAGGTTCCGTGACCATCTGCTCCATAGCACAGTCATTTAGAGTGTCTAGAAACTCAATCTCTTTTTCCCGACTAGAACACATATTGACCCAATCAATGTGTGGGTAGTTAAAATCACCTATTATTACACAGTGTTTTTGTCTAGTTGCTATCTTTAAGGCATTCATCATTTTATAATCCTCCTCTATCTTTTGATCCGGTGGGCGATAACAAACTCCCAGTGTTAAGTTTCCTTTTGGCCCCCCTATTTCAACCCACAGAACTTCAAGAAGCGAATCCAATTCTCTTAGCCTCTCGATCTTTCTGGACTTTATACCCTCTCTGACATACAGAGCTACCCCACCTCCAACCCTTCCCCCCCTATCCTTCCGATATAATATATAACCGGGAATCACTGTGTCCCACTGATTTTCCTCATCCCACCAAGTTTCTGAAATACCCACAATGTCTATTTTTCCCTCCAACACCAAGCACTCCAACTCCCCGATTTTACCTCGGACACTTCGAGCATTTGTATAGAAACAGCTGTAATTTCCCATACAAGTTAAGCCTGCAACCTTCCTCTTGCTATCTTGAGACCTTGTCAGGCAGTCCATGTCACTGGCCATGGCCTCTGTGGACAATTTCAATCCACCTCCCTGTAGAAAAGCAACAGGTACCCCCCTCATCTCTCTGAGATGAGCCAACTCGAACCAGGGACTTTTCATCGCCTGTAGGCTTTCCCCCAATATTCAGTTTAAAAACTGCTCTGCCACCTTTTTGATTTTAAGCGCCAGCAGCCTGGTTCCTTCTCGGGACAAGTGGAGACCGTCTCGCCTGTACAGCTCCCTCTTGTTCCAAAAAGCATCCCAGTGCCTAACAAACTTGAACCCTTCCCCCCTACACCGTCTCATCCACGCATTGAGACTCCTGATCTGTGCCTGTCTCTCCAGCCCTGCGCGTGGAACAGGTAGCACTTCTGAGAAAGCTACCTTGGAGGTCCTGGACCTAAGTTTCCTGCCCAGCAGCCTAAATTTCAACATAATTTATGTTGAATCTCTGTTTCGGGCACCTGGTTTCCCACATTTTAAGCTGAATGCACCTGTTTGCACAGACCACTGCTTTTTTGTGTTGGAAATTAAAACAGCTGTGGATCTGTTCTTCATTTTATGCCACCAGTAGGAGCCATTTGCATGAAAATGAGCTCTTTAGAAGAGTAATTTGCATTTCTGCCTCACCCCCCTCTTCCATTATGAGATGTGTTTTGGAGAAACCAGTGAAGGGGAAATTTTCTGAAACAAACCATGATCAACAATGGAGAACAAGCTTCACCTACTCTAGGATATGTGCAGATTGAATGCCTAAGATGCCAGCAAGGCTTACTTCGGAGGTAAGCCAATGTCTTCTACAAACTACATGTTTGTAACCCACAATATCGCCAAACAACACATCCCCCCCTTAGGAACCTGTGATGGGTTACTGGGAACCTAGTCTGTGAGTCCATTTTGAGAGGCTGCCTACAGGGTTGGCACAGAGCCCGTGGAACTCCCTAAAACTCATGATCATCAGGCCCCGTTCCCCTTTGGACTTCTAGAAAAGTTCAGAAAACGATTTTATTCTTGAGGGTATTTTTATTTCACAACAGCCCACTTATTCTCTTGCTATTAAAAAGACCGAAAAGGCATCAGACTGAGTTCTGATTTCGTGTTTATTATGCATGTGAATAACACCAAGTCGCAAACAACTTACGGTGACCCCAGCAGGGGGCTTTCAAGGCAAGTGAGGAGCAAAGGTTGGCCATTGGCTTCCTTGGCAGACTCCTCCTTGATGGCCTCTCTCTTCCAAGTATGTTTAGCTTCTGAGATCTGCCGAGAACAGACTATACCATTCCCACCTCCTTTTATTATTAGAAGCCTTTTGTAATGCAGCTGAGTCCCAGCACTTCAGAGTAATCTTTGCAGGTATTCACCAGGCAAGGGGAAGGAGGAGACACAAACCCAATAAGCCTTTTAGACGTTTATTAACAATCCTTGTTGCGACACAAGAGGGCAGGCACACATTCACTTTTGCAACATGACTTCCAGAGTTAACGTTTTGTACACAGCGTTGCTTGGAACTTGGGCCACCAACCCTACTCCCAGTCTTCCTACTCCTTTTCCCGCCTCGGGCCCTTCTGCACCCCAGATTGGTCTCCGGTCACACAGACTTCAGTTACACTGCTACAGCCATAGTGCATCCACGGACATCAATTTCCAAGTCCTCAGTTACTTTCCAAAACACACACACCCTGCCCCTCTTTCTACACATTGCAGGTCCCCCCCCCGTTCTCTCTGCGTCACCCAACCCACCCCAAGAGTACAAGTGGGCTCCATCATCCACCCGCACAACAGCAGATCAAAGTTGTTTTGGATTTGTACAAATGAGAGGGACGGTGGAGGGAGAAATGCACCTGAGGAGCTCTCCAAAGAGCCAACGCTGCAATTCCTGAGCCCACATTTGGTGGCTCCAACCAAAGCACAAGCAGGGGGACTGGCTTT